GCTCCGATTTTTTAAGATCTGCTCAATTCCCCTTCTCAAACATAAAAGGCCTGGCAGGGATGGGGGTGGCCCCAGGACCCAAGACCCTGCTGATGGGGGCGAGTGATGAGGGGATAGTGGGTGGGGCACCCAGAAGGGCAGGCGCCCTCCTGGGATCTCAGATCTGCTGCACCCCCTCCTCCTGGGGCAGGGCGCCCCCACAGCCTCTCCTCCACTGCTGTCTGGCAGCCTCTCTTCATCCATCCATCTCTACTGTCGTGGGCTGGGGCTCTTTTTAGAGGGTTGGCAGTGAATGTGAGCGCCCTTGGTTCCTTATAGGCTTTCTCTCATTTCTGCGTCACTCCCAGTGGTTTTGGAAATGCAGAGCTTACAGCCCCTGCTCTTCCACCTGATCTTTTTGAAAAGTCTGTAACACTTGAGTAAGAAAAAGAAGAAAGAAAACATGTACAAACAGTGTTGGAAGTTAGGCGTGACCTGTGAGCAGCTACACAGGGTTCCAGAGCAGCCACAGGCGACCTCTAAGCCCAGCACAGAGCAAGACAGACACTCACCAGGCTCCTGGGTTGTAGAGTCTGATTTCTCTCTCTCTCTCTGGGGCTCACCAGAGGAAGGCTGTTTCTGGGTGTGCTTGTCCGTGCTTATTTGGCTAGGACTGGCATACCAAAAAAGTAGTATTTTTCTGAGAGGATAAATAAAATACCGTGATGTTTCTTCCTATTTGCATCTACTAGTCCTTGTCCTGGTAAAACTTCCCAAACCATGTAAGGGTTGATCCCAGAAATGCCCTCCCCAGGGAAGCGTCTTCCCACTTAGTGCTGGGGGAGACCTGTCCTCACTGCCTGGAGTCGCAGGGAGACATGCCCTCAGCCCCCTTTGTCTGAGAACGGGGCCATGTCACTGGCAACAGAAGATTGCACTGTCACCCCTCACCACGCCCCGCACCATCCTGCCTGGGTCTCTTCCTGCCAGGGCAGCCCTGAAATCACTGGCCCCAGAAGGAGGAGCAGCTCAGCACCGCGTTAGCACCCTCTAAAGTGGTTTCTAAAGGGCCACAAGGAGCTGGGAAAGGGATGGAGGCCCCTGTCCCGGGCAGCAATGAGACGTGGCCTGGACTGAGTTCTTGAGCATTAGCTGACAGACGAGTGAGTTGCAGGATTTTCACGTTAGACATTTTGTGTGCAAGACATATGTGAGTGTGTGCATGTGTGTGTTATGTGTCTCCATGCACACGTGTGTTTAGGAGTGCACATCCTCTGTGTGTGTGTGCATATCATGCTTATAGGACCAGAGTGAAGTCAGCTGCTGGTGAGGGGGGAGACGGAGGGGTACCCACCTCCACTCCCCGCAGAGGCCCCCTCACTCCCCACCCCTCAGCATGCAGTTTGGAAAAACCGCTCCCCTTGGTGTGTGTACCTGTAGTGGGGGTTCAGTGCTCCACATCCTCCCTTGAAGATCTGAACTCACTTAGCTCCAGGCCCACGTGTGCACCTGTGCATTGGGGATACCAGGATGTCACTGCCTACGGGGCACTGCCTCTCCCTGTGGTATTAGTTTGTGAACCCCGTTTGAGTCATTTGGAGCTGTTTCTCTGTTTCAGTGTTCCTCGAACATCTTTGAAAAAGCCATCCGGGCTAGTAGGCCACACTTGCTCACTAAAGTGCCTTCCTGTTCCTCGCGGCCCTCTGTCCTGCCTGCTCCTTGTGACTCCGTGTTCTTCCTTTCTGTCTCTAGCTGGTATTGGGGGCCACCCAAGGGCCTCCACAAACCAGCTGCCCTCAGCCAAATAAGAGATTGTTCTCGTCCTGGCGTCATTTGCACAGCTACAGCAGGAAGTGAAAGTAGAGGTAGCAGGGCTCGGTGCTCCTGGGCTGGGTGCTCCTGGGCTGGGCGACAGACTCTGCAAAGGGGGCTGAGGCTGCAGGGGATCAGGGATCGGGGATGGGGAATGAGGCCAGGTGTCAGGGTGGCTCTCTGTCACCCAGGTCACCTGGGGAGGTGCGGTGGCACTGGACGAGAGAGTCACCCTTGCTCTCTCTGATTGAGTCAGCTGTGGTCAGCTCAGGCTCTGGAGACAGGACAGGGGGCACAAAGATGGGAATGGATGGGATGAGAATAAGAGGAAAAGAAACTTTGCTATGAGAAATGAAGAGACAGACAAGTGGAAGCGAAGTCACCCTTTTCAGTCTATAGCTGCCGCTAAACGTCACTAAAACATTTCCCGAAATTTTCTGTAAACGTCCTCTGAGTCACAAGTCACAGAAGATTATAAAATTATCCACAGAAAATTATAAAACTTTGTATGCAATTAAAAAGAATCATAAACATTGCTAAAAATAAGTAACGCCAAGCTATACTGTAGCATATATCAAAGTCTGCAAACAAATAAGCAGAAGATGATCCAAAGAAGGGAGCAAAGATATGAAAAGAAATTCACAGAAAAAGAAATGCAAATCACTAAACATTTGAGAACACGTTCAACCTTTCTCATAAAGAAAGGCAAATTAAAGGCAAGCCACCGTGTGTGTTTCTTTCTTCTTCCACCTCTCTGATTTGCAAAGATTGACGTCTCTGATAACAGCCAGTTGGCAGGGTGTGGGGAAATAGACACTCTCATATCCGGTTAGCAGGACAGAAAAGCAGCAGGACCTCATCGCAAGGCAATCGGTAGTCTATCAAAATATAAAATTCCATCCCGGGGCCAGCTGTTCCCCTTCTAGTGATTTGCCTCCATTCACTGGTAAACGTGCGGCACGTGCAGTGCCGGGTGTTTCTCATGCTAATCCGGTCCCTGTTATTATCTTCATGCCCACTTTACTGAAGGGAAACCGAAACTCTGAACCCAGCTAAGCACACCTGATGGAGACACAGAGCCGTAGACGTCAGCGTGGTTTATAACAGCCCCCCGAGAAGTAGTGAGGTGCCCATCACCACTGTCCAGTCCAACCCAGGGCTGACAAGGTGGAACTTGTGGTCACTTCATTTGGGAAAATGTTGAGTATTGTTTTGGGTGGAAAAAAGTAAATTTCAGTATATAGTATGACATTGTATATGGGATGATATTATGTATATAGTATATATGCATATAGCATGATATTACTTGTATTTAAAATGATGTTCATATAGAAATTCGCGTGTATGTTTAGAAGTGCTGGAGAGATTTACAAAATGTAGCAGTAAATCTACAGGACTCACAGGCGTCCAGAAGGAGACGTTTTTCATTTCTGATCTTTCTGTATGGTCTCACATTTTTTTTTTTTTTATTTTTTTTTTATAGAGGCATGTTTTTTTATTTATTTATTCATCTGTTTGTTTTGTTTATACAAGCACTGGGTACAGTCAGAAGCGCGGGAGGGTGAGAGAATTCACCAGAGCCAGAGCGGGGAGCAGAGCAGGCAGAAGGACCGAAGGACACTGCTGAGGGGAGCAGCGGGCGGCAGGAGGGGTCTGCGCGCCATGCGGGACCCTCCTCCGGTGGCCGGGGAGCAGCCGGGGATCGAACCAGCGCTGCAGAGGCCGCGGGCAGCTTCGCAACCCAGCGCTCAACCGCTGCGCCACCGGGGAGGCCCAGGTCTCACATTTTTTAAAGCTAGTATATCATTTAAAAAAAGCTATTTAAGGGCCTCCCCTGGTGGCGCAGAGGTTGAGCGCTGGTTTGATCCCCGGCCACCGGCGAGGGTCCCCCATGGCGCGCAGACCTCTCCTGCCGCCCGCTGCTCCCCTCAGCAGTGGGCTTCGGTCCTTCTGCCTGCTCTGCTCCCCGCTCTGGCTCTGGTGAATTCTCTCACCCTCCCGCGCTTCTGACTCTACCCAGTACTTGTATAAATAAATAAATAAATCTTAAAAAAAAAAAACAAACCTATTTAAGCAACAAACATATACAAATGTGTGGTGACCTACTGGGCACACAGGAGGGGCTAGAGAAGTGACACTTTTGTAAGGAAGCATCATCTTGGTTGCAGAAACAACAGGGAATATCTGTGGGGCCAGGGTAAGACACCCCCCTTGAGGGGAGACAGCGGGGTGAGCAAGTTTTCAAAGTTGATGAGAATCCAGGTGGAGCTGGGGAGAGATTATGGAGGGTGAGAGAACAGACCAACAGTTTCAACTAATAGTCTAAAAGCCCAGCTAAGTTTCCCCCAAAGGCCTTATGCCTCTGGGCTCAGCACCGGAGCCAATGGGCTTTCATGGCCTGTGACCTGAGGCATCAGGCTCCCAGCTGGCCGGTCTGTGCTGGGTCACCCACCGGGTGCCCCTCTCCTGATGTGCTCAGCCTTGACAATGCCCCATAATCTCAAACATCCTCCGTGGCTAAGAACATTTCGCTTCCTCCTTCTCACACTGTGGACCCTGAGCCAGAGGAAGGTAGAACTTCTAGAAGGAGAAGAGAATTTGGGATCCCCAGCACTTCCTCCTTTGAAACAAGACTAAAGGTCACGCACCAGGAAAGCCAGGTCCCTCACAGGTGTCTCACCTTGGGGAGAATTAGCTCACAGGGCCAAGTCTCCAGGGGAGGATGCCAGCGGGGAGGTCGTGGGTGGGTGGGCATGGGGGTGGGTGCTCAGCAGAAGAGAGGGGATCCCCAAAACTGGCCTCTCTCCAGCTGAGCCTTACCCCCATCCTAAAGTCTGTACCTTGCTTGGTCCCACTGGAGACATTTGCTCTGTTCTGGAGGCCAAGGTGATGGTTCAGAGGCTGAGGGAGCCCTTCCAGAGGGCGGCCTTGCTAGGGCAGCCCTAACAGGCAAGCGCCACGTCAGTCGTGCCCAGAGACCCACACGCCTTTTCCCGAGACTCCCTGTGTGCTAGCCAGTGGGGGAGGCGGCAAGCTGCCACCATCCAGGACTCTCGATTTCAGGCTGATCTCCCGCTCAGAAACGTGGCCCCCAGAGCTCAGACTTCACACCCGATGGCCGGGGGCCCTGGCGGGGGTGTTTGTCTTTGTAGTTACCCCAGAAAGAGATTCTCCTGCGTGGGTGCTAATGAGGTCTTGGTCTGTTCCAGGTATCGGAACTGCGTTTACACTTACAGGATTCTGCCCAATGACGACGATCAATTCACGGTTCAGGTAAGTCCTTTATAAACCTAGAAATTGCTGCCTGCCTTGAGCCTCCACTGCCAGAGTGAACAAGAGGAAGAGGAGAAAAAGCACATCTCCGAGGAGCCTAGATGGAAAGGCCCCGCTGAGCCTCCTTCTAGACGCCTACGGGTGGGGTGGGGGTGGCTTTGGGGGTGAACTTTGACCCCACAGCACGACCCTGCTCCAGAACACGGTGGAGGAGGGTGAGGAGACATAATGGTGATGATGGAGCTCGAGACACCGGTGAAGTGACCGTGGCCCTCGGTTCTCATCTTCAGGGCGTTCACAGGAGCGAGACCTAGCGGCCGGGAAGGTCAGGGAGGGAAACCTGCAGAACAGGCAGAAGCTCGCGGCCGGATGAATTAGCGCGAGCTGAGACCTTTCCCTTGGCCTAGGCCTGGTTCGTCAAAGGCTGATGCTGGTGCATCTCATTTCACCAAGTCAGGGCCAACTGTGTTAAACTTGCAGCTGAATTTAATGAAAATCAGCCGGGCCCAAGTCTAGGAAGACCACTCCGTGCACAGCTTGCACGACAAACACCACGGGCGGCGTGTGACCACAGCACTGTGGAGGTGTGGAGGCCGGGCAGCTATTTTTATCTGGCTGCATTAGAGAACACGGTGGGGGTGGGGGCAGAGGGGAGTCCGTGCTCTCAGAGCCCCAGTGAGGGGAGCTGGAAAGGGTCTGGCTCAGTTTTCGGGCTGGGTAAGAGGAGCACCCGTGAGAGCTGCCGGATGGACGGGGGCTGCGACGCCGGCAGCAGAGGGGCAGCCGCTGGATCTGTGGCTAAAAAGAAAACAGCAGCAGCGGATGGGGAGGGAGGGAGGGGCACGGTCACTGGTTCTGAGTTGCGCTGGGAGCCGAGCATTTTGTGGGGTACGAGACAGAACTGGAGCTCCAGGGGCACAAGGTGTTAGGTCTCCAGCCTTCAGGAGACTGTTCATGGGGTCCAAGCAGTTGCTTCACTGAGGGACAGAGTGAGCCCCCAAGAGGCAGGCGTGAAGCTGCCCAGGTGGTCACGGGCTGCTTTCTCAGGAGGCCAGTCTGTTGGCAGCAGGGTTTCCCTGGGAGATGCCAGTATGGGCTGAAGCAGAATTGCTCTCCTCTCCAGCCTTACAGAGGTGCAGCTGGCCAGTGCTTCTGCCTCATTTGTCCTTTCCATGTGTGCCTCTGCTCTGGCATCTACGCACTATCCGTGTTGGGTATTCTCAGCAAGTCTGAGATGCCTGAGTGTCTCGGCCTGGTCCCCAGGGGCGCATGTTGGCACACCTGGTGTGAGACTGTCTGTTAGATACCTGGTGGTGTGTGTCACCAGAATGGCCGTCTGTCGCGTGGGCCCCTCGTCTGCCAGGGGTGTGGCCGCCCCAGGGAAGGCTGTGTGGGCCAAGCTGTTGGCCTCCGTGGCCTTCACAGTGGTTGCCAAGTCAAGGACGGCAAGAACTTCCCTGGCTGCCTTGGCTTCCTTGACAGGTGGTTTGCTGAAAGGCGTCTGAACTCTCAAGTTAAAAGTTGGTCAATGCTTTTGATCTTTTTTCCCCTGTGGTTTCTTCTATTCCTTCAAAGTGAAGAAGACTTCAAGTATGACTAGGCCTTGAGCTGGGAAAGACATGAGTGTGGCAGCTGGTATGGCATCTGTGCCCACGGCTTAGTGCAGACTCCGTGTCTGCTCCCGCCAGTGGCCTGCAGCCGTGGCTGTGGTCTAGTGCGTCCCTGTGAGCGGTGTGCCTCTGTGAGCAACGTGTCCCTGTGAATGGAGTGTCCCTGCTGTAGATCTTGCAGCAGCTTCCGAATCAGGGGCCTCATCAGGTTTGGGGGGTTGCAAAGAACAGAGTTTCACTGGTTCAGGAAGGGATAGGCGACCTTTGTGGAGGTGCCCAGAGCCAGAAGACCCTTGGGGGTTGGGGGCCCTCCACTCCCAGCACTACCACCACGGTCCGAGTCTTCTCCGTGGTCCAGTCTTCTCCTGCCAGCAGGTTCCCTTCTCCATTCCTAGTCCCAAGAGGGAAGCTGGCTGTTCTCTGCAGGGCCACTATCTGCTGGGCTGCCTCGGAACAGGCCTGAGCCCCGGGAGAGAGAGGCAGAGTTGTGAGGACAGAACATGGCTACAAAGGCCACACTCGTGCGGTGATAGGCAGGCTGGTCTCGCTGAAGAGCCGTGGTCCTGCCGGACACATGCTGTGCTCTCAGCTTCCTCAGCAGCCCAACCCAGGAGCTGTGGGGCCTCGTTGGCCTGAGGAAATTCCCACCCAGGGACACGCCTTCCTATAAAAAGCCCCTGTACGCAGCCCCTGACTACAATCATAAGAGGATTTGTCTCCTGAGAAGCAAAGGAAAGTTTGTGCACAATTAGACCAAGTCCCCACGCTGGCGGGCCAGCAGCAGCAGCGACCCTGATCCCTGCTTATTTTCACTCAAGTTCCTCTTTTTATGTTGAGGCAAAACCTCAATCTTTTCTGAGCTGAGCTAGTTTCTGAATAACTCATTCCTTACACCTGAGGCTATTTAGTGCCCCCAGAAAACGAGGCCCCCGAAGCATGTGACTGAGACTGGCCACTCAAACACCAGAGGCTCCATCCCGTTCTTAATTCAATTACTCCCCACTGGGGCGTCTGGCTTTTGTTCAGAGCCCAAGGGCCATGCCGTCCTCATTTTTGGTAGGGTAGGCCGTGTCATGGCCACGGCAGCCCCATTTTGGGCCAGGAAGGGGTATGATCCTGCCACCCTGAGACTTGCCTCACACTCCACCTTTCACTGACTTAGAGCTGGGAGGGAAGGTCTGACGGGGACCTCCTGGCATGAAAGCTGGAGACCTTGGGCACCGGAGCTCCCACCTGGGCCTCTGAGCTGCCCAAGCAAAGACTTCTCTCTACCTCAGACGGTATGTCCATCCCTGGCTGGAGCCACGGGAAGGACAGGCAAGAACTCTGCCCCGGGCCCCGGCCGAGCAGCCCCTCCACAGCTGCCTCTTCTGCTCCCCATGGTGTGGACAACATCACAGCACAAGCAGCACTTGTGGTAAATCAGGAGTGACTGAAACCGAGAACCCCTCCATTCCCAGCTTGTTCAAGTTCCAGTTCTGACAGGCGTGTGGCTGGCGTGAGGGCTGGGCTGTGCTGGACAGTGGACACACAGGGGCCTCTACGGTGGTGACTGGGATGCGGTGGAGGTAAAATACATAGCCCAGTGGTGGTCGGCGTGGGGGTCCGACCCCCGGAGGGAACAGACGTCTGGCAACGCCAGAGCGTCTGCTGAGACACCTGTGCTCAGGTTGGGGAGGGTGGAGGACAACGGGACAGATGACAGGGTAAGGGAGAGAGAATGGGGAGAGGGAGGGAAGAGTAATTGGAGAGGGAAACGGAGGGAGAGGGAAAGGAAGGCACGAGGGAGAAAGAAGCTGCGGGGAACGGAGCGGACATGGGCGATCAGTTCTGACGGAAGCCTGCATGGAAGCGGGGGTGTGGCAAAGAGAAGGCAGAGAGGAGGTGCGGGGGAAGGAGGCAGGCAGTGCTCTAGAAGATTCTAGGCAGTGTCTAGGGCTGATGGGAGAGGGGCCGACCTTACAGCCCCCTCAGCTCTGCTCTCTGGCTGTGGGTTTTCAGGTCTCGGTGACCGCAGCAACCCTGGGATTGTTAAGTGGTTGTTCTGAGACCCTGAGGACCTTCTGGATGGGAATCTCCGGGGTGGGCACATCTGAGCACTGAGGCCAGAGGAGGCTGCTGGCTCCGTCCGTGTCCATCCGTCAGGCCTGAGGTTCCCACCCCTGGAAAGTGGCTGCTTGTAAAATGCAAACTCCTTTCCTGACGTGGACGGAAGTGACCGGGCCCCGCAGAGCCCTGGCTCCACAGTGAACTTCTCGGAAATGACCCTCCTCCTGGGGAGTGAGGACGAGTTTGAGGCAGAACAGACAGGCCTGATGGGGCCACTCGAGCGTGAGCCATTAGAGAGGCCACGGGGCTCCTCAGCAGTCTTCAGACCTGGCATGTACTTGTGTGCCCCAAGCCCCACCCCACAGAAGAAAATGGGTCCTTCTGCTCCAATCCTACAACCCTCCAGGCCCTGCTCGTTTTCTGGCAGACTCCTTTCAAGAGTGAAGCAAGAATGAAGCAGAAATAAAAACTGTGCCTAGTCTGTCTCTCTTTTTGTCTCTTTCTGTCTGTCTGTCTCTCTCACACACACACACACTCACACACACACACACAGTTCGCTTTGAACTTCCGCTCTTTCTCATGGTTGAGATTGTAGCCAGGATATTGGCTGTTTAAGTCAAGACAGGAACACACAAGGGCTTTAAGGCACGCTGAGACACGGGGGAGCTGGAAATGATGGGACATAGACACTTTGAGTATTCTTTCCTGATTTAGAAGAAAAAAGACCAGAGGCTCGAACCAAGGGTGAAAGACTCATGACTCAGTTCCTGGTCGCTGACGAGGCTTTCACGTTGCTCAGGCTGAGAAGAGAGAAAACAAAACAACTTTCTCAAAGCTGTTCCGTCACAAGTGTCCGGGAGGGTGAACGGTTGAGCCATTGTTATTAAGCTCAGGAAGAGGGTGGCAGCTGTTATTGTTCTGAGTGGCCACCAAGTGAAGTAAAGATTCCGTCTGAGCCGCCAGGCCAAGGATGTGGCTCTAACACACACTTCCTGACATTACACAACGAGAGGGAACAGCAAAGATCCGGGCGGCAGAGGCCCCCAGGGCCAGGGTTTCCCGGCCTCCGAGGGCCTTGGGCCTGACGGGGCCCACAGTGCCCAAGTGGACTTCCAGTGCCGATGCCACAACCTAAAAATCTGCATTTTTAATTTTCTGTCTGCCATAGAACATAGACAGATCTCTTTTCCAAACTTCTGGATATCTCAAAACATTTTCCTGTGTCTTTCCTTCAAAATGTTTGGAAGTATGGTTCCACTATCTTCAGGAATTTAGTATTACAAATCTCTCCAAATTCAAAACCCAAGGCCAAACTGGTGCCCACCAGTTCTGTGATCAGGA